TCTTCATTTTAATGATTGTATTGTTTTAAAGTGTTTTTTGCACTACAAATAAGATATATGCAGAGTGCATAGGAATTCATTCATGCTTTTTTCAAATTATAATCTGGCCCTTGAACAGTTTGAGGGACTGTGACCTGGCCTTTTGTTTAAAATGTTTGTGGACCCTTGACATAGAAGATGGAATGTGTGTGATGGAACACATGTTTACAATGCCCATGAAGTCTATATAACCAGAACAATTTATTAGCCTATGATAGTATTATATAGTGCTAGATAGTAATACTTTATTTCACAGAGGAATTCTGATGACATTCATTATTTATCATATAGATTATTTTGGTTATCTATGCTTATTGAGACACTTGGCAGGACAGTCTTGAATATACCACAGTTGATGAGATCTTTATAATAAATGAGCTAGTGTCTAATTATATGTATTTATATTTCTGGTGCATGTTTCTGTCTCTTTGATTTGTCAGATTTGCTTAGCTTAGCATTGAATTTCTTTTAAGTTCATGTCTTCCCCTAATTTTGGTTAAGAATGGAAATGATCCTAGTTTGTTATTTGTTTTGTTTCACTCAATAAGTTAGTGTATGTCTCATAACACATACGATGTTTAACATAAAATGTTATTTGAATAATGAAAAATAGCTTAGACTAATTTGTTAGTCCAAACTAGAGTGAACTGGTTGAAGCAATGGAAACACCTGTGTCAGATCCATTAGATCAGTCATTCTAGTCTGGTTGGATCTAAAAATGTTTCCTTGTTTATACTAAAACATATAGTTTACAGAACTTAATTATACTTAATTGAATAACTGTGTCCATATCTAAAAATATCTTCCCTGAAAACATGCTTAAAATTAAGAGTGGTTTCCTGCAGAGATGTAATCTAACATGAACCTACTTTTTTGGGCAATAATTTACAGAAATAAAATGCAGAATAGAGAATTGAAGACCAACCTAGATGAGATGGCAGAGATCTGTGATATATTGCTTTACTTTTTTTTAAACAAAGTAGCTCTTTAAGGGAGATCACCCAGTCACTGGAGGACAGGATTAGCTTTTTCGAGGTGCCATCTTTAAACTACCATGCCTTTATTGTCTTGCTAAGAGTATCACTGACTGACTATGGTTCTCTTTAACAACCCCAATGACAGCTTTGCCTCATCATCATCAACAACAACAATAACAATACTTTATTTATATCCCACCCTATCTCCCCATGGACGGTTTCCAACAAGCAATGGCAAACATTCAATGCCATAATAATAAAGACATTACCATGAAAATTAAACAAGAAATAATGTTCTCTTCCTGTTTGTCCCTAATCTCTCTCATCTATTTGAGATATGTTGTTTTACTTTCTCTGGTAAAACATGGGATAATGTTACCATGGATAAGAAGTTCTGTGTAAGGAAATTTGTTTTGTTTGTTTCTACACTGTAGAACTACAGCTCCACTACAGTTAAAGTGCTATGAAATTGAATTAAGGCTACAATGTAGATGCATCCATAGAGAACCACCATCTCCTCCTCTTCCTCTGGTTCTTGAGTAGTTTAAGAGTTTTATGGGTGCCAAAACCATTTACTCACTTTCAAAATGATACTGCTTTGATGACCTCAGTAATTTTACACATCTGCCATTCTGAATAGTGATATGTTATGCAAACGTAATTTTAAATTTTAGGTAATAAGTGGTGTCCTGTGTGCAAGTCACCTGCCAATTTAGGGTGACTCCATGAATTTTGTAGGGGACATTGAACACTTGGAAGTGGTTTGGCCAATTCCTTCCTTTGGAATATATCTACTGCAATACTTTGTTAATCTTGCTGCAGTCATGACATCTTTTCACCCAAGAAATGTTTATGTGACCTTATGTACATAGGTATATATAATAAGTATACAAGTCAAACATTTACAGATAATAAATCATAAAGAAAATGATTTTAAAACAATTCACTGGTGAATACATAATTTTATTTTTTACATAATGTATTAAACCTTAGCTGAATGTGTGATACTACAGAACTTAAAGCACTTTCAACATTTTTATGCCATACTGACATGTTTTGTTTTCATCCTCAAGCAGCATAATATAATGTGTTCGCTCTCTTTTTTATCCTGGATTCATATAAATATCCAAACCAGCCACTACTAGCTAGCTACACACTTTTTCCATGATCCCAACATTCAGCTTTGCTCTACAGTATCTTCTAGTCATTGTTTGTTTTCCATCCAAGTACTATCCAGGGCTGACTTCCAAGATAGATGGGATTTTGTGTGTTTAGGGCATTTATGGACAAGAGGAATACTAAAGGCAAAGCCTTATTAACTTTCTCTTTGCTGTACCACATTAAAAAAATGATAGTTAAGCAGGTATCTAAAACAGTGTGAATTCAGATTATTTCTCATCCAGACGTGTTCTTGGCATTTCACATTATTGTCTTTGATCTGCCTCTGCACTTGTCTTGCAAGTCACATGCAAATGTAAAATTGGAGTAAAGAGGCATGGCAGCAGTGTACATGTGAGTCTCTCATTGGCATGAAATCCAATATTGTCTTGGCTCCATGGTTTAAGAAGAGCTGCAGTCTCCAGGATTTTTTTAAAACTCCGTGTGCACGTTTCCAGGAAACATTTTTGTTTATATTCATAGTTATTTATGCACCTATTACAATATTTCATCTAATAATTTGTTTTTAGTGTTTATTTGCATTTTAAACACATTCTTATCACTGTATTAGTTGATTATACCTGTCTGTATTGTCTCTGCTTTGTACCGTATAATACTATATGCTTTTATTGCTTTTTTATTTTGATTTTTACCTTTACAAATAATATACTCCCCACTCAAAAATTGTTAAATGTATTACAATTAACTATAACAATCGTGCATATTTGCATGTTTACATCGACTCTAGTCACAACTCTTGAGCCTTAAAAATGCAGTTGCTGAAAGTCTCCTCATTTGCATCATATATAAAACTCAGGAATCTCCAGGAGCATTAGCATAATTTCAGACCCAACTGGATTACTATTAGAAATATATAAAATAGCAATAGAACAATTCTTTGGCAAACAAATAGGGTGACATCTAGAATGGGAATCTGATTTAGCAGTAGTAATTTCAAAAGAACATAGGAACAGAATTTGCCCCATCCCCCATTTATAACTATTGCAGCAGCAGCAATGGAACATGCACCAAAGGTAGTTCATGTGGGGTATATTTGTCCTCTTAAGCTATATAAATTAATAGAGATGTTTCAAAAACCAACAAGAGAGGCTACAAAAGTACAGGATACTAAGCCATAAGGTGATTTTTTTGGAAGGAAATAATACAATGGTAAGCAAAGCAGCTAAGTGGGAAATACACTTTTTACTGTTTTCTGTCTTTGATAGAAACAAGGAAAAGGTTTTGTATAAACTTCTTACCTCTTTTGTACTGAGATAAAAAATGCAAAATTGTGCAGGTTATTTCACCAATGGATAGATTGTATAGAGACTGGCTTACTGCCCTATCTGAACAATTAACCATTTACGACTGGGAAAAGGAACGGTAAACGGAGATGTTTTCATAGAAACCTGATCATCCTTTCACCACTACAATACAGATTTTACTTTAACACATTAACTACCAATAAATCAATTTCAATTCTGGAGTGTAATCCTATGTGTGTCAACTCAAAAATAAGCCTCATTTGCTTCTGTTCTTCTCAAACTAGAAAGAACAAAATGGTATCCCACAAATAAGCAAAAATATTAATATAGTATAGAATGAAAGCTGAAAACAAACTGAAACACAGTTCACACTAAAAAGACAAGAAAAAGATTAAAGGGAAAGAATCAGATTAGTTTGTAATCTTTGTCCTAAATTTAGTTTGTGGGAGCAAGAAAAAATGAGTTGGTGAAAGCCATGTACCTAGAGCAGCGTTTCTCAACCTGGGGGTCAGGATCCCTTGGGGGGGGGGGTTGCAAGGGGTCTCCAAAGACCATCAGAAAACACAGTATTTTCTGTTGGTCATGGGGGTTCTGTGTGGAAAGTTTGGCCCAATTCTTGTTGGTGGGGTTCAGAATGCTCTTTGATTGTAGGTGAACTATAAATCCCAGGAACTACAACTCCCAAATATCAAGGTCTATTTTCCCCAAACTCCACCAATGTTCACATTTGGGCATATTGAGTATCTAATAGCACAGATATCTATATATAGTGGGAAAAAATGTTTACTGCTGTAACCCCTGATTATCAATGGTTCTTAAGTATGCAAACAAGTATGTGACTTAACCTTCAAAACGACATAAATCACATAATAGTAGCTAACAAAATTAAAGACCGAGTATAGATGTTGTTATGAATTCTTCCTACCGTGGGTATCCATACCAAGTTTGGTCCAGAGCCATCATTTTTTGAGTCCGCAGTGCTCTCTGGATGTAGGTGAACTACAAGTCCAAAACTCAAGGTCATTGCCCACAAAACCCTTCCTTCTTGTTGGTCATGGGGGTTCTGTGTTCTAAGTTTGGTCCAATTCCATTGGTGGAGTTCAGAATGCTCTTTGATTGTAAATTAACTATAAATCCCAGCAACTACAACTCCCAAATGACAAAACCAGTCATCCCCCCCCCCCACCAATATTCAAATGTGGGTGTATCAGATATTTGTGCCAAATTTAATGGCCAGTGAATGAAAATATGTCCTGCATATTGGATATTTACATTATGATTCATGAGAGTAGCAAAATTACAGTTATGAAGTAGCAACAAAAATACTGTTATGGTTAGGGGTCATCATAACACGAGGGGTTGCGACAGTAGGAATGCTGAGAACCACTGATCTTGACTAAAGGACTAGAGTTTTGCTCTAAGTCCAGGATTCAGTTTGCCAAGTTTGCTTCATGTTTATTTTTGTAATGGCTCAAATAATTTTCCCAATGTTCTAATTCAGAGTGGTTTCATGACCTGTAAAAACACAGCCTGATAAATACCTCTTTGTTTTCTTCTTCAGCTGTGAACTTCAAGGAAGTTAATGAAGAAAATAAAAGAGAAGTCTTAAGTGAGATATTCTCTTCGATTGATACGTTGGCATTTACCTTTGGCAACATGTAAGTAAAATAAAAATTTAACTGTATGATAGATTTCCCTGTTCTCGTCTTCTCTTATGGCTGCCCCATGACTCTTCCTTTGCGGATCTGCCTTTCCCCTTTCCTGCACCAATCCCGCTTAAGGCCACTTAATGTAGCTGGTGTTTTTATATATTGAAAAGAATGCTCATGAGAAAAGGAATGAGATCACCAAGAAAATGGAAATCCTCAGATTTCTTTGTGTTTTCCTTTTTTTCTAACTACTTTTGAGTATACATTCTGACTAGCTACTTTTTGGATCAGAATAATTTCTGATAATCCTCTCCAAACTTCAGGGGTATCTTTTTCTTTTTCAACAGGTTACTCAGGAGACCATATTTAGCATGGCTTGAGAACTGCTTAGTTTTAAGAATACTTATAAGTAGCAAAATGCAAACTAAATAGAGAACCAAACCCTTTTATTTGTTGAGACTTCCTTAAAATTGTTTTTTAGGTTTAAATGTTTGGTAGTAGCTAATTTTTTCCTTGCTCTTCTGACAGAGTTTCAGACTTCCTTATGGGAGATGTGGACAATGGCTCAACATTGGGTCTCCCTGTATCTCGTCAAAGCCAGGTAGGGTGGATATACCCTTGAAAATTTAAAATGTTTTGTTATCAGTTATAACTAGTGACATCACTTTTCATTGTCACCATTCAAAATATCTTATATGGGTCACTTTAAAAATGAAAAAAAATGTTTTTTAGAAAAAGAAATATTTTCCTGGATAGCACCTTTCTCGTGTATTGAACTACACATCTTGTAATGTCTAGCCAGATACAGCAATTGGTTTAATGAGAGTTGTGATCTCACCAGCCTGTCTGGCACCAGAATATGATTTAGTACAGCATCCCCCAAAATGGCAGTCTCCAGATACTTTGGACTACAGCTGCCATCAACTTCAGCTACTACATACAGTGATAAAGAATTTGGGGAGCTGTAGCCCAAAACATTGGAGGAGCCAAGGTTCAGGAATCTAAGCTATGCTTATTGCATCCAGTATTGAAACCAACAAGCAGGTCCTAGGTGTATATGGTTAGGAAGGCAGAATTACTATAATGCCCTTTTTTAGTTGCTTTGGATGACTGCAGGACTTTCTCTACATAGTTCAGCCTTTTCAGACCCCGGACTCAACCTGTTCGCATGTCTGCCAGTGGAATTTGTAAGAAAAGAACAGTAGTTAAAGGGCGAATATTCTGTTAAATAAAGTAGGACCATATGAGCTGGCTGATCAGTGATAGTACGATATTTTACACACATTGTCAATGGGTCCAAAGAAATTGCTAAGCTGTGGAGCAGAGAACAGTCAAGCCAAAACGTCATGGCTGACTAAGTAGTAAGAAGAGGTGTATCTTGGGAACATGTAAAAGACAGCACAGCAAGAAACAGGTGAAAATTAGGAATTTAAGGGGAGGCTTAAAAGACTATCTCCTTGGCAGTTGATCAAACATCTGAAGAGAAGTAATTCTATGGAGCTGTCTATGCAGTTTGTTCTGTTTGTCACCCAAACCCAAATATAGAAAACAAGAGAAATTACATTGTCTGTTTGCTTTCGTATTCATAATATTTTCTAAAATGTGACCTCAGCTTTGTGATATTCAAATAAGTGTGGTGAATATTAAATAACCATTAGGAATTTTACATGGGATTTCAATAATGTTTTGAAACTATATACTGTTCTTCATAACATGTTTTGATTATCTTTTAAGGTAGGGAATAGTACACAGCTACTTTCATTCACTTACTTTCATTCACTTTTAGATGGGAAATTTAGGTGGTTGTCCTGTGGCAGCTTTCCTGTTTCAAAGACTTTCACAGAATATTCTTTCAAACTGCATAGATCAGTACCATCTATGTAGTTTGAAAGTAGCTTAAAGGTAGTACTTGTTGCTAAGGTTGTTTGGATATGTAAATACTCAAGCGTCACAGAGGGAATTCTAGTATCTGTGATTGCATTACATAACTGTCACGGTATCATTTTATGGATGGATTTACTGAAGCAAGCAAGGCATTGATTAGGCCCCCCTATCCAGATAGAGACCCTATTTGTTTAGTGTCCTCTGTATATTATGTATTATTTGCCACAGCACTGTACAGGATAGTTTTTGCCTAATACCGATTTTGTAAAGTTTTGTAAGTGTTCTTGTTTCTAGCCTTGTTATGTGTGGAGGTGATTTAGACACAGTTTAGTTCATACTAATAGATAGACTAGAGATAGGCAATTTTTAGATGCTTAGGCATCGCTTCCGTATGACACCATTTGTCCCACCATTGTCTCCAATCAGTTAGGTTTTGCCATTGCTTTTATTTTACTTAAGTACTTCAGAAGCAGGAAGCAAGGCAATAATGAATTAAAAGTAAACACTGTGAGGGACAGTGCCTTTGTCATGTAACCTTCTACTCTGAAAATAACACTAAAGCTTTCTAGTGTACTAGTCGGAGAGAAGCTAATCTTTTTACTTACTGTCACATTAAGAACTTCCCTGATGGACTGAAAGGTGTATGCAACTGATAAGTATACATAATGTGCTTAACCCACAGGTGATTAGAGCATTGTGTATTAACTGGAATCTGTGTTTCTACTGAAACAATAAAGGTGCTTTCTTGTTTTACTGTGTTCTCTTCTCATATCTTTCCTTCAAAGTTGACTTTACTATTACTATATTGGAAATATTTCATTTTGTGAGCCAGAAAACATTACTATATTGTTACTCGTGAATTACAATCCTCTTCTAGAACATGTATGCATTACTGTTGGGATTGCTTTGTATAGTCTGTTTGCTCAAGTATCACAATTACTTTGAAAGCACATAATTAACATCACCCTGACCTGTATTATTTTCCAAGTTGTTTAAAGATTAGGTTTATGCTTTACATGTTTATACCTCCCCACTGTCCAACTTCAGGTAGTGTGTGTATGTGACTCTGAGTCACTTGTTGACTTATGGTGACCCCATGAATTTCATATTGTTTTTTCAGACAAGGAATATAAGAGGTGGTTTTGCCAGTTCCTTCCTTCAGGAAGCACTGACTGTGTAAAATAGTGACTGCCAAGATAGTTGCCTTTCTTTGGTTTACACTTTTGTTAGATTCCTTTGGATTCAGTTTTGCATTTCCGTCATTAATTTTATTCTGCACTGTAATGGGCATTTTGATGTTTTTCCCCCTATGACAGCAATGCCATCACAAAAGCTTAAGCAATGTTATCGGCATTGAAAAGCCACTTTCAGGGGAATTGAAAGTGTCCTTAGGGTCATGCTTTGGCTATACAATTAAATCCATTCACAAAATAACCATTTTTTTCTGCTGGGGGAAAACTACCCTTTTGTGAAGTAATCAGTCAGCTCCACCAGAGCTTTAAAAGTCTGTTTGAAACTGTTGGACACGTGTAAAGGTTTCTCTGATATCTAAATTGCCTTGGCCTCTTGAACCATTGTAGATTTAAAAGGGGATTGAAGTTATTAGGCATGAGTGCCTCCCACATTATTCTCTTTCCGTGTTAGTATGACAAATTTAGCATTGAACAAAAAGCCATATAGTATATATTTAACCATATATTTACTTAGCAGATTCTAACTGGCTATATTTTATTGCACGCCAGTCTTTTGAAAATCTTTCTGTGGATTCTGGGGGATCACTGCATGAAAGGGACGACGTTCAAGGGACAGGTAAGCATTACTATGTGTACATCATTTTCCTATTGTTATTATTTCACACATGTAAAGATGCTAAGGCTACTAAACGATTGAAAAAAATCTACCATTTTATGCTAATTACAAAATACTAAAGTAGATGAAGCAAGTCCTTGAGAAATTTTCGAAACCTGTGCAGTTACTGTAAAATGTTTTTTAAGTATACATAGGTCACTATGAAATAAAGTTTATGAAGACTATATGATTTGTTAAGTTATAATTCTGTGATCCTTTAATTTGTTAAAAAAGGCTGTCAGTTTTGTTTAGTGTCAACAAGCATTACAGAGAATCTCAAGATCAGAGCTGCTTTAGTCTTCACAGTTGGCTGATACAAGCATTGCTGTTGCTGTGTGGTCATGTCTAAAATTCACTTTTTTGCATTTGATACTCTGTTTACAGGGCACCTTAGAGCTGAAGAAATTGATAATGTTCTTCTAAGAAATGATAATGGAATTGAATCGGCTCTGTCCTATGCTAAAGCATGGTCAAAATATGCGAAGGACATAGTTGCATGGGTAGAGAAAAAGCTTAACTTGGGTGAGTGGCTCTTTCTGGCACCTAATGAGCTTTGTCATGATGGAATTAAATCTGTTGTCAGGATTGTGCTACAGACTGTCAGTAATGTGATTTCTAAATTAGTAGCTGTTCACTGAAATGAATGGAATCGCTGCCTGTTTCCTGTAACTGCAAGATTGTAGCAAATTATCTTTTGTGTTTTGCTAAAGGAAAACTAGAGAGAAAATGGCATTTGGCCTTACTGCTCATATTAATTGTATGAACCTGGTCTTGTTTTATAGAAATGGAGTGTGCTAAAAGTCTGGCAAAAATCGCAGAAACAACTAAAACTATTGTTGGACCCCAGGTAAGTGCTTAATTAATGAATGTTCACCATTTTTTTTTGCGTAGTTAGTATTTTTTTTGATGACGGAAATCCCATTGAAGCATGTTTACTTACTATTTATCAAGAATTAGATAAAATTCTTGTGAATCTTGTTTGATGTGACTTTTTATCATCTTTGTAGAAGTTACACACATTTTGGAGATTGTATAACGTTCTGTGTATTACAAGAGGCATTCTATGCCATCTTTTTAGTTAGATGAATTAACAGAAGGAACTTTGTATAGGTGTATTGTGCTACATTACATGACATGGATCTGTTTAAAGTTCTCTTTCATTTAAATCAGGCAAGACAAAAGAATTTGGCTCTAAATGGATATTCTACTAATTTGGAGGTGTGTATTTTTTACATGTTTTGGATTACAGGATTACATGCCTTTCCAATCAATATTCATAAATGCATTCCAAAATGACATAGAGAACAGTCAGCTTTGGCAGCAAACATCAGCAGCTCTGCAAACTAATAAATTTGTACAGGTAAAAAGTATTTATAGAAACATTTCTTGATGCAGATATGTTTTAGCTATTGACATTTCCTCATAGTTTCTGCATTTTCCTTATTTAGCCACTCCTTGGAAGAAAAAGTGAATTGGATAAACAAAGGAAGGAAATCAAAGAGCTTTGGCAACGAGAACAAAAGAAAATGGTTAGTATATTTGCATTTTGTGCATCTTCTATAATGACTAGGAACTGCCTCTTAAGTTTTTCCCAACAGGGCATATGTTATGGACAGCCTGTTCCTGTTACTATTGTTAATTTAGCATTGATATATCAGAAAATACTGCATTTCAGTAAGAGATTTTCTATTAACATTATCTTTATTTCTAATGGTGTAAAGCCACACTGCCCTGTTTCTGCCTGTTCCCTTCCTGTCATGTCATGTCATTTTGTGTTACATCAATAATATAAAAAACCTCTTGGAGTTAGAAAACACAGTGGTGCAATATATCAATATTCTGTGTTACAATATGAAAATGCTTTCTTTTGAAATGGGCAGCAAGAATTGGAATCGACGGTACGAAAAGCAAAGCTATTATATATTCAGCGGCAAGATGAATATGAAAAGGCAAAATCATCAGCTGTTCGTGCTGAGGAGGAACATTTGAGTAGCAATGGAGGCATTGTAAAAGATACCAGCAAACTAGAGAAAAAAAGAAAACTGGAAGAGGAAGCTCTCCAAAAGGTAAGGAAAGTCTTCAGTAGGAGGAAGTCATGCTAGAATAAATATATGAGATATAGAAAAGGCTGGCTTTAACTTAAATCGTATCTTTTCATTATGGGCTGCAGAAATTTGTGTTGTTTTAATAGGAAATTTTCCACCATTGGTTATTGTCTGTATTTCATTTTATTACAGGCTGAAGAAGCCAATGAACATTTCAAAGCCAGCGTGGCTGAAGTTGAAGAAAAGCGAAACGATCTAGAAAATTTCAAAAGTGATATGTTAACACAGCTGCGAGAACTGGTTTATCAATGTGACCTCACACTTAAAGCTGTAAGAAAGTGTGCATGAATGCATCTTAGAATATACAGTTCTTCAGTAACTGTTAAAAGAGTGGGATATTCTAAGTATGATGACTGATTACTTTATATATTCCTTTATGACTGCTTCTTCCCAAAAATGCTAGTATATTGAATTAATCATGTTGGTCCTATTCAAATTATCCTGCAAACAGTGATGTACTGAGTCATGAATAAGCCATTGGTATGGAGATCTAGGTCCAGTTATAGGTACCTACTTGAGGTGTCATGGCAAAATGATGATTAACGCAAAACAAGAAAGGGAACCTGCAGAAATGATGGAACAAATGGGTCCTTCATTAAAGTCTGTACTACACCATGACTTTAGAATTGCTTCAGTGTTGTTTATTATTTTAGTAGGGTATATTAGTTATTTCAGGAACGATCTGGGAGAACTGTCTACTACACTGAAGCATCTGCTTTATCCATAGGTAATTAAAAATCATGATTTCCCATTGCATTAATTAAATGCAGAAATAGTCATTGTGCACCCATCCTCTCCTTTCTTGCACCTGTTAGAGGATAAGAAGGATTTTGTGTGTGAGAGAGAGAGACTAGAGGTTACTCTGACATCTGAAGTCATTGAAAAAAACTTGATGTGGATGATCTAGCTATAGGTCGTACACTGAATGGGAGTTGGACTCAATTGCTTATGGAACCCTTTCCAACTTTCTGACTATACTGGGACCGTATTTTAGTTTTTTAACTATGGCTACTCAGAACAAGCTAGTTCAAATCATGGTTTCAGATCTTTGCTTATTCTCAAGCAATAATTTTTATAAGGTACAGGTCCTTGAGATTGGAAATTACATTGCATAGTAGTTGCGTTAAAATACAAGTTGATCCTTCTAATTCCCCTTGCTTTGTTAAAAATGGAGGAGATAAGAGAGCGGAGTCTATAAGCTGAAGCTTCCTGCATATTATTCACTTACCGGGAAGCCATTTCTTTTCCTTTGTTTGAATAAAGCGATTGAAAGCTTAAAATAAGCACTCATTTTCAGTTTGAAAATAGTTCTTGTAGTTCACTTATAAGAATCAGAAGGCTTATATTTATTCACTTATAAGAATTCAAATTTTTCATCATATGTAATGATACTAAACAGAAAAGTGCTTCAGATTACATTATATCTAAAAAATAAATGCATTAGTCAGTGCATTAAGATTTGAAAGTTAACAAGTAGAGGAAATGCAGCTGAGGTTTTCAGTCCTACTTGAATATTGGTGAATAAGGTGAATTGTGAATTGATGACACAATATAGCATGTTGCATATATGCAAATTCAAGATTTTTGTCCCTAGTATTCTAATCTTTTCTTTTTAAAAAGTTTTTTTTTTTCATGTCAGGGGCAACTTGAGAAATTGCGAGTTGCTTCTGGTGTGAGAGAATTGGCCGTCTGTAGAGATGTTGCCCAGGGAACGCCCAGATGTTTTGATGTTTTACCATCCTTGTGGGAGGCTTCTCTCATGCCCTCGCATGGAGAGCTGGAGCTGACAGAGGGAACTCATCTGCGCTCTCCCCCGATTCAAACCTCTGACCTGTCAGTCTTCAGTCCTGCCGACACAAAGGTTTAATCCATTGCTCCACTGGGTATTCCTTAAAAAAACTATGATTCTCTGAGGGGTTTTTTTTTTTTTTGCTTCTCTAATGATAACTACTAGACATATCTAAATAGAAGTATAAAAAATGTTGTAAAGTTAATGGCAATTCCTAAGTGGTAAAATATGGCTTTGGATTCGGTCCCCTGCGTGAATTCCTTTATTTATAAATAAATGGGATATAAGTCTGTTGTTATAAAAGTTTTCTAGATCCTCTTAAAGATGTGCTATCTATTGGAAACTTAATAGCATCTCTCTCTGGCTAATAATGAAGGAGAAAATTCGCTGTGGTTATATGTTGTTAGTGGCATGCATCTGTTTATACGTGTTAATTATGCTTTTATTAAGAACTTTTATTATTATGTGTTTTCTCCCTGGAAATGTTCTTTTACTCTGAGCATTCAGGATTTAACTTGCTTGAAACAGACTGCAATCTTTGGAAATACAGGCAGTCCCCAAGTTACAAACATCCCACTTACAAATGACTCATAGTTAAGAACGGGGTGAGACAACAGGAAGTGAGAGAAATCTACTCCTCAGAAGGGAAATCCACTCCTGGAAGCATTACCATCGGGAAAACGTGTCTCAATAAACCTTTTCACCACTCTTTGTTTCTACAACAAACCACATTTTTCAAAATCCAATTATCACAGGGACAGAAAGTGAGGTGAAATCTTCTGGACAGGGGCATAGACAGCAAAACAAACACCACAGGAGTGTTAACCTTTTCCTATGCTATCCAAAGCTATAAATATATCTATATGGCTGGAGTTTCACTTTAAAAATGTACCTGTTCCTACTTACATGCAAATTCAACTTAAAAACAAATCTATGTTCGTAACTTGGGGACTGTCTGTAGTTTTGTAGCAGTTGGTAAAAAGATACTCTTTATTTTCTGAAGAGTGTGATGTGTTAGACCTGTAAATGATCTTTAAGGATTTGTTTAGAGCGCTATCTCAGATTTGGGCTGCAGAAATTGCTGCGCCAAGAAACCCAAAAATATTTAGTGCTAGAATAAAATGTTAATCCTACAGAGTATTTTAAACGTGTGTCATGTGTTCTTTTAAAATGTCTTAATTTGATTCTCTTCCACACAGGCAACAGTTAATTTGTTCCAAATGCAGCATGCCCAAGTTGTGTCTCTACCGGTTAACTGTCAATCCCTCTGTGAGAGTGCCAAGCTGTATGATCCAGGACAAAAATTCTCCGAGTTTGTGAAGAATTTGCCAAAAGATGATGCTCCCATTGAATCGGGTTCCTTTGAAACCCAGAGTTCTCAGGCTGGAGGGTGAGAGCTCAGATACCATCTTTGCTTATTTGGCAGCAAATGTGAACAAAATGCGAGAAGAATGCAGATAGTAGGAAAGAAATTTGTGATTTCAATAAGTCAAGCACTGTTGAACTTCTGATAGAATGCCCACTTGAGCCTGAGAAAGTGAATGGAAATGGGGCCTAAAGACAAATGAACATTCATAGTGAAGAGCAGAGTTATAAGGGGTTTCTATTAGCAAAAAAAGGTGGACAAGTTACCTCTGCCTCCACAAGGTCACATCTGGGACAGATTGGTTGTTCAAGAAATGGCTGTAGTGATGGTTGCTTATCCCATTACCCTTGTTTTCTCTTGAGCATATATATCTGTGGCTTGTGTCTGGAAATCACTTCAGGACAGATTTTTTCTTTTTATATTACTCTATAAAATCAATTGTATCGGGGTGCTATTTGAATAATACAGACAAACCTGAAGCCGAAGTTTATATTTCATATAAATATGTGATCTTAATTTTTTCTCACGTGTGCTGCTCTTGGTCATATACTTCTATGCTCATTGCTCTTTCTCGGTTTTCCTTGTTTTCTATCAAATGGCTGATGACTATTTGTCCTGGAGCTGTCTAGCTTGCTTTCCTAGACTCCTCTTTGTGTTAGTGCTCTATTCATAAGTCCTGTCCCTGAACAGACTCCGTCACTGCTAGATGCTCTTCTGTGAGAGGCAGGCAAAATGGGAACTGCCAAGTCACCTTTTGGTAGGTGTGGAGCCAGTCACTGCCAAAACATTTGATACATAGAACCATAGAGTTGGAAGAGACCTCATGGGCCATCCAGTCCAACCCCCTGCCAAGAAGCAGGAAAATTGCATTTAAAGCACCCCAGACAGATGGCCATCCAGCCATACTACCATACCAGCCGTACTACCACCACTACAAAATGGAGCCAAAACAAGAGTTATTGCATGAGATCACCATACTAGGGGGAATCATGGGGACTGCAGAGGTAGAAGAAATATTTAAAAATAATCATAAAGAGCCCAACAAGACATAATCCCCCACTATTACTGATAGCCTAAAAGAGGACATGTCTGAGAATCCTTTTCAGGAATTGGAAAATGTTGCGAAGTTTTTATGGAGAAGTGACCCTTGCCCAGGGCCCATTCAGTAATGATTTCTTCATATTGAATTTTTGAAACTGTTCTCATCATCTCCAGTACTAGAGCAGAAGGACACACTGATAATTGAATGTTTCAGAATTGGCTAAAGCTGTAATGCTTATGAGTAGTTTTGTCAATAATGAGAAATTGATGTTAGCTAGGCAACCTTTTGATACACCAGAATGAATAGTTCAACTGTCACGTGGCTTTATTTCCTAGTTATTTTACTCACACAAATAGATCTGAATAGAGAAAGGGGAGTGGGAGAATACTGCTGGTGTCTTAATAACCTGATTATGAAGAAACCTTCTGTTGTGCATTTTCTATGGGGAGGAAGCTTGTAGTGGTTTACCTATATGTGAAAGGTTACAAATGACCAGTTGCGGGTTTATTAATCACTGTTTTCTCTAAACTCCCAAACATTACACCTCCAGACTGGCAGAATGGCTCAGCAGAAGGAGGTAGGATAAGCAATGCATTTGGAGCTTTTCCCAAATCATTTTTCTTTCCACAGAACTATGGGACAAGTAGGACATGCAGCAAAATATTGTAATGTAGAGAACTCAGGACTCAGGTCTTTCCTCCCCTAATCAGTATTCTATGCCCAGGGAGTGCGCTCATTTTTCTGTGATTCTTTGGTACATAAAGTATTGAGATCACTTTTAGAGTAGTAATGATGGTGCCTGTCGTAGTCCCCCCCCCCCTTTTTAAGAGAACAGTGTAAGTTTTCATATTTTGTAAGACTTTTCTAAAATGAAAACAAATTTTGAAATAGATTAACAATAACATTTAGGTTGTTCAACACTTATTATTTGTAGCCCTTTTCTTCTCAGCACAGCTAGTCCTTTGAATCAATACTGTGAAAGCAAGTTAGTTGGGCAGAAATATGTTTCATAATGACCCAAAAGTATATAAAGCAACCTGACAAACACACGAGCTATGTAAGTAACCCTTGATGATAACATGACGGATTTATACTAATGTGAATCAATAGTCACAGATAAACTTCACAAATATCAACGACCCAAACTGCAAATTTTATTTAGATATTACCTAAATATTATATTGCCTTTTTACTAGAAAGTTTTGAAGATGGTTAACAATAATAAAATGTTTTAAGTAGTGGAAGGACAATAGAGATGTAGCTGGCATGACTTCTGTTGCTAGAGAGTTACAGGGCCTGGAAGAAGCCATTGAGAAGGTGGAGACAAAAGAGATAGAGAAACCTTTCTTAAAAGTCTTAAAGCCTGGACAGGCCACGTCAGACATGTAGTGATCTTTCAAGTATCTTGGACCCAAGCTATGCTTTTACTTTCCCTTTACGGTTGCTCTCATTTAATGTTAGTCTGTTTAATACTTGATACACTATATCTAATCTTCTCAAATGTAGTCATAAGAGTACTGAAAAGTTTGTTTGCATGAACTTTAATTTATAGCAAGGAAGGAATCCTGTGGTTCAAGGGCCACATTCAATCTTTTACGCTGTTGGGCACCCCACTTGGCATCACTACAGAACCCCAAAGTCCCCACCACCACCCAGTAAGATGTCACATTTGGTCATCTATCGTGGCAGCCCTGAAGGGAGGTTGTAATCTTCCAGAGCTTTGTAGGACTCCTCAGTGGTGCTATGTGACTCTCTGAGCTCTGGAGCTTGCTCACTGCTGCTTTGCCACATTGTCATTATTGCTTCTTTGGACACTAGCCAAAACAGTAATCTTGTTCTTTATTTTGAAAACTTCAAAGAAAGCTTCACTTAAAACATTGGCCAATAGTGGTCCACACATCCAAAGTTAATGTTTTGGAGTTCTTGTCTATAAACATCCTTGTGCTCATAAATTGGTTTTAGATTAATCCTTCTGCTTTTATAAAGATCTTGGCCGTCAATTATTCAACTTGACTAAGCCATTTGAAATGAAATGATGATTCAAATTCTTCACTTCAGTCTCATCTCTTAGCTAATTCTTGAGTTGGTTTCATGATACGTTCTTGTTCTTGTTTTTGTTTTTGTTACCCAAATTTTTGAGAATACCACTTAGGCAAATACAGCTTCTTTTGTTCTTTGAGAGTGAGGGTAGAGGAAAAATGATTAAGCATAGATCCTGTTATCAGAACTGAACACTAAATACGTCTTCTGGATGTGTTATTTTTCAGATGTGGAACATTAGAGATCACACTTGACAATTGAAGTAGAAAAGTTTCATGCTACAAACATGTATTTAATCTGTAACAAATAGTTGTTCCCATGGCTAAACCCTGTAATCACTAATAGCATTAGGGAACAAAATACTAAAAGAAAAAATAGATCCAGTTATTGAAAAGATCTGGGTAATCGAACAAATCAATATGATTTCTTCCTTTATCAAGCAATCACAAACAGTACATTTCAATGGCACTGTGATTCCCTTAATATGCCAAAACAAAATTTTAAACTGCATCAGCTTTATAACAGAAATATTTATGCCGATGAACACCATAGGATCTCTGATGTGTTTGACTTGGAAGTCTTGGGTTATAATAAATGACCCTGTCCTAAGATGCTTCTTAGAAGTAAGTCACTAAATTAAGAGTGTCTTACTTGTAACTTTTTTATCACCAACTTAAACTTTTAAGTGTTTAAAACCTGAAGAGCACTGCATAATTCAATGTAATTTTTAATGGAAAGCATTCCTTGTTCATTTTCAAATAACCGTTTTGTTATTTTATCCAGGGTTTTCACTAAACGATCAAACAATATTCATGCATCACAAGGAAACTTATCTCAATGCTCAGGAGATTTTCCTACTCAGTCCTTAGAAGATATTGCAAGCCCAACCTGTCAGCACTCTCAAAAGATTGGAGAAAAAAGATCGTCAAGCAGCACAGATGTCTCTGGTAATACTTCAGTAGGTTGTTTGATCTGCATAGTAAAGTAATGATTTTTAATAATCACTTCAATAACCCAGTTCTCACATGTATCTTGTAACAAAGAAGAAGTCTTTGGGATTATTATGTAATGTATAAATCTAATGTAATCTTGGATAGTTAACATTTTGGTTTGTAATGCTTTTCAGCTTTAACATTAATTGAGGTTATGTCTATCGCTGGCTATATTTCGAGCTTCCTAGTTCATAGGCAGTGATTACCAATTGATGGGAAACATACCAGTAACAGTAGTTCACACATTCACAAAAAGGAATATGTGTTGGTCTTGTACATACTCCAATAATGAAAAGTGTTTCAAATTTTAATAAAGAAAGATGTATTCCAAAGCCATGATATATCTGGGGGAAACAGTCTTATATCTGAAGAGGATCCTGACTTCAATAATCTTATGTTGCTTTAAAAAAAAAAATTAGCTGTTCGGGGCCCACCACCATTCAGATCCTGGTCAGTTGGTAACCAAAGTGGAGGAATGTGCAGTGATTCTGAAAGTGCTGGAGGAAGCAGTGAATCAAGATCTGTAGATTCTCCTTCTGCAAGTCCAGGTATTGAATTTTTAAGCTTCATTCACTAACAAATACTGGTAATTGACAACTGGAATGGAATACGGATTACGATATTGGTTATGATTCTATGATGTGACGGAGCGGATTATTTAGTGTAACTAGATTATAGTGTATTATTGTTGTATTGATTTCCTGTTTTGCCCTCTTGTAAACTGTTTTTATATGTTGTGCACCGCCGCGAGTCGCCCTAGGGCTGAGAGCGGCGGTCAATAAATGCAGCAAATAAATAAATAAATAATAATAAATAAATAGTTCCAAGTTGTAAGGGATGTTAAATGATACTTGCATTAGAAGTCATTAAATAGGTGGGATTTTTACAAAAAATCTGACACATCTTGTTTCTCTGGTAGGTGATTTTAAAAGAAGACTTCCTCGAACACCATCTACTGGCACTATGTCATCTGCAGATGATCTTGATGAGAGAGAACCACCATCACCTTCAGATTGTGGTACTTGACATTTTTTGAGTGAATTTGTCATTTGTTATAAGTTGACGTATTCTGTGCTAATCAGAGAGCCTTCTTTAAAGTTTTTGGAGGAAACAGTGCAGATGACAAAACTGGAATGTGTTTAAGGATCAAAGAAATCGACTATATTTAGCAGGCAGTATTAATTCAATTTAAAGATTAATAATCTTTTCTGCTATTTAGAAAAATAGAAAAAGTAAGAGCTTAACTTTTCGGCCTTTATGCTAATACATCTGCTAAACACCTGCTTGATACCAGAGCAGAAAGAAGTAAGCAGCTTCTCTTTTGGCTTAATGCTGTATTGGCAAAAGACTTCAAAGGCCACAATAATGCTTGAACATGTAGAAATGCATGACTTGGCCAAAATAACTTCCAAAAGGAGAACTGTGAACTCTTCCAAACAATTATTGAATGATACAATTATTCCCCAACCCAAAACTGCATTTTCCACATGCTTGCTCAGGATTATCTCATGCCTAGGCCTTGATTCAGAGTGTGTGAATGTAAACTTGCAAAATATATTTGAAGGTAGAGCAGCATGGTATCACAGTTTAACCCAACTGTATTTGCATGTTCTTAAACATGTGAAAAGAGTAGCTGACTTAATTTGATTAACTAGTATTGGGTATTTTATTATTGCAATAAAGATATTTGGATACTATTTTACAGCAGAGATAACCCAAACATTTAATTGCATGGTGAAGAATTAGTTTTCACGTTAGTAATTTTTTTTCATATGACAGTGAATGACTAATAGAAGAACTTTATCTTCCAAGGTTTAAATGATTTAGTATCTGAAATTACCAGTTCACCTGGACCTTTTCGAAACACTCTTCTGTCTAAGGCAGCACAAACACACAAACTGAGGAAGCTCAGGGCTCCATCCAAATGCAGAGAATGTGATAGCCTGGTGGTCTTCCACGGAGCGGAATGTGAAGAGGTAAGGAATGTGAACATTCTTTGACTCCTTATGAAAGTCTTTTGAGTGGTTTCTGTTGCTTCCTTCAGGTTATATGAAATATAGACTGTCCCCTTATCTGGAAATCTCCCCAAATCTTAATTTTTTTTGCCACCAGCCTTCTGCTTCTGTCTTTGAAATGGTGACTGTGGTGCTTATGCACATTCATCTCTCAAATCCACCATCTCTCTCCAGACTGGCATCTTCTACACAACACAGATAAATAAGATGCAAAGTTAGAGAGAGACTGAGGATCTGACAAACGAATGATCACGAAAACCAGAGCTACCACTCTGAAAATGAAAATGAGTGGCTGGCAGCAAAAGGAGAGAGACCGAGGAGCTGAGAAATGAACAAGCAAAAGGTAGAAGTGGGCAGCTGACAGCAAAATGTCTCAATTTCCTGCCATTTCAAAGACCCCAGTCTCTTTCCATCTCATATTTCATATGCAAGTAATAGACAAATGAGATAGACTGGAGGGAAACACAAGGCTGGAGGTGTAAGCATGTCCACAAAGGGTAATGAAATTGAAGATGAATGTACAGGTATTTCAAAAACAAAAACCCCAAAATGCATGACACATCTAGCCCCAAGTATTTTGGATAAGGGATGCCCAACCTATACCATGATTTGATCCCAGTATGTTGTGGATTAAAGACCTCAGCCACTCTGAGGTGAAGTAAGGTATGGTGATAATCACCTTGTAGGAAACACAAGACAACTATTGATGTTAAAGTTATTTAGAAGTAAGTGATCCCTGCTTTCCTTGACTGGTTGCAAGAAAGCTAGTATAGAATCATAGAATAATAGAATAATAAAGTTGGAAGAGACCACCTGGGCCATCTAGTCCAAGCCCCTGCCATGCAGGAAAAGTGCAAAGTATCCCTGGCAGATGTCTTTCTTATTTATTTATGGGATTTGACTATTGCTCTTCAACCCGCCAGGACACCCAAGGATATGTGCATTTAGTAAAAACTTTAAAACATTACAATCATGGATGAAAAATGTAAAAACAAACTAAAACTCATCTTAGTTTTAGAAACCAATTGAGTCTTCCTTTGTTGACATGATTAATAAGTCTTTAAGAGAGAATTTGATTGCCCTTGCTTTGAACAAGATTTTGTTCTATGGCATGGGTTTAACAGATTTCGGTAACTGTCTTTCTAATTTAGGACAAGGTGATCTGAGAAGTAATGTATTGACCCTGCTCTCTACTTGAAAATATTTTGAATGCTCTTTCATTTTTGTTTTTCTTCTAGTGTTCACTTGCTTGTCACAAGAAATGCTTGGAGACATTAGCAATTCAGTGTGGGCACAAAAAACTTCATGGAAGACTTCATCTCTTTGGAGTAGAATTTACTCAAGCTGCTAAAAATACCCCTGATGGCATCCCATTCATCATAAAAAAGTGTACCTCGGAAATTGAAAATAGGGCCCTAAATGTAAAGGTAAAAATTGAGTTAGTTTTTAACAGACCTCTTTCTAAAATGGTTTACATTTGCTTTTGCAATTAACTGTGATGTTTTTCCTTGTATTTCAGGGTATATACCGTGTGAATGGAGCCAAATCAAGAGTTGAAAAGCTCTGTCAGGCATTTGAAAATGGAAAGGACTTGGTGGAATTATCTGAACTCTATGCCCATGATATAAGTAATGTCCTTAAATTATATCTTCGCCAGGTAAAGATTGTTCATGCTGTTATTAATGTTTAGACAGTCTCAAATGGCTGAAATACTGAAGTTAACATTGGTCTTTCCCAGTGTTGCATGACAGTGTTGAGCCATTGGGTCAGAGATTTCAGTGGCATTGTAACATAAAAGATGAACGAGTGGCAAGTAACATTCCTAACCTCATTTAGGTCATTGGATTGATGTCCTTTAAACTTCCTTTTACTTTATATAAATGTCAGGATAACATAAATTCATACAATATGCTTTCTGTTTCAAATAATATAACACGTCATATACATACATCATGTACACTATAATCACAAAGTGTGATATCTAGTAATTAGTTAAATGACTCCACAGTATTCCAGCTTTTTAAAAAACCAAAACACACCCAAATTCTGGATTTCTATTGGACATGTTTCATTTGTTATTATACAGAGATTTTATCAAGAAACAAGCAAGATTTAAAAAAAATAATAAAAAGAAGTGAAACCATATTCTGAATTGTAGATTGTTGTTCTCATTTTTATTTTACCAGACATCATATTATCTTTATTTTCTCATTACAAATGATTTCTTTATCATTCATAGCAATGATAAACATTGTAGCAGTGAGTAAAGCTCATTGAAAGATGATGTTTTGTACACAACAATGAAATAATTTTGTAACATTATCTTAGTGATTAAAATTACTAATTATTCAATTTATTTAGTTACTAGGCCCAATTGAGTTATTAGTCCCAAGTAAAGTAAAACTACTGAAGTCTACTTTGTGCATTTAGTGGTTCAACTTTAGTTGGGACTAACAATTGCACAGAGGATTTTCATAACTTATTTCCAGAAGAATTTAATATTTAGACATTTTACCAAATCTTGTGTACTCTTGACAATCATATATCTTCGTTTCTTTAATTTTTCCAACACTGATGAAACATTCTGAACAATCCATTCCCACTTCATTTTTATCTGTATTTATGATAAGAAAGGAGATGGGTTCAAAAGATTTAAAAAAAAAAGATTTAAAAAGAAAACTGACATACCAGAGCTTACCATAAGTATAGGGACTTTTTCTCTTTCTAGCTAGCAATTTTGTGGAGATTTGTTTAGGCCTCTTTTTGGGGGGAAATGGAAATGTATAATTAAGGTATTTCTGGTCACCATGAGAAAAATATTGTCTTAAATTGCACTTGCTGGGTCACTAAAGCTAACCTTTAAAATAAGGCTACATTTCTGACTAGCTGTGGATTTTGGAGAGATTATTTAGCATGCTTGAGATGTTGAGGCAAAGTGACTTCCACCACCCAAGAAGCATACTAATCCTTAAGAAAATGTACCTTGGGAGGCAACTTGTCCTTTGTTTAAAAGGTATTTGCCTTTGTGTAGGGGTACTCTTTCATCGTGATCTTGTATGGGTCACATGTGAAATATTGTCTGATGTAGGCATTTGACACTCCTCAAATTTTCCGTGGGCTCAGTCCTAATGTGCTGGCTTAAATTTAAGAGAAAGCATCTTGAAAATTGGTGTTTCCAAACTGCGCTTTTTCTCTGTTCTCAAGATCCTGCCTGTGCATGAGTGTTAGATGTGCAGCAGACTCCCAATCTCTCATTCATTTGATTTTATGGTTCTGTAAAGATAACCAGATTGAGCATATAGTTAAAAGATTTTATTTTGACCGTACATTATGTTAATTGAAATAATTCAAAATACAATTTTTAATTTCTATCATGAAGGCACATTCATGTTTGCTACTGCTGGAACTAGTCCTGAATAGTTGCTCAAATCCCTTTTTTTTTTTTTTGGTTTAGTTTTCTGATATCCAATTATTGGTATAGATAGAGAAGTATTTACAATATGATTGGACCCTTCCTTTAAATCCTGATTTCTTGGAGAAGGGCATAATCAAACCAACAACAATATTTGGGACAGCAAGGATGGCTTCCTCTTTTTCCCTTTCTTTGCAATTAAGATCATTCTTTAGCAGTGCTTCAATGCTTCTAAAAGGGTAGAGCCAAACTTAGCAAACCTAAAAGTTCTCTCTGAAAACAAGCAATATTGCTTTAAAACTCACCATGTACATTCTGGTTGTTCTTCTTTGAAAAACAAAACTGGTAATGAAGATAAATTGTTTTCCATATCAATAAATGTTGCTGTAGTTATAATAATAACTTTATTCTTTATTCTCCCTGAAGGGACTCGGGGCAGCCTGAATATGGGACAATGCCCAAAAGACATAAAGCAAAACATTCCATTAAAGCAAGAACACAATTAAAATAAAAGCATAATAAAATGTAACAAACCAGATAAAAACACAATTAAATAAAACAACAAGAATATAAAACAGCAACTTTAAAACTCAGTCAAAACAGTGCTCAACAAAACCAGTAGCCAGTGATGAAATTGTTTATATTTTAGCTTACATTCATAGTCCACACTTTAATAAAACAATTTATTTCCATTTTATTTATCATTATCATTTCATTCTGCTGAAAAATTGGAGGCAGCCTACTTGGTACAGGTTAAATTGAGAGAAGGTCTAAGGCAGTGGTTCTCAATGTGTGGGCCACCAGAAGTTTTTGCCTTCAACTCCCAGAAATTCTAACAGCTGGTAAACTGTCTGGGATTTCTGGGAGCTGAAGGCCACAACACATCTGGGGACCCACAGGATGAGAACCACTGGTAAGGGGAGTCCCCTCTGGCTCAACATGATCAAGGCCAAGTTTGAAGACTGACTTCTCTTGTACTGTGATTTAAAGGATTGATCATTACTGTCTTCCTGTTTGAAAATAAAATATGAAAAAGTCAAATGTATAAACAGATTTAATATCAATCCCTATAAAGGTGCTCTTTTTACTTTATTAATCCAAAATATTTGTGTGTGGTTAAAAAAATCTGCAACTTGAGCACTTGAGTGAGAGGAGCCTCGTAGAAAATAAAAAAGTAGAAAAGGTAGGAAATAAAGTGAATATATTAAAATTGTGGATTGAAGTTTTTTATGATCTTTTCCTCAGCTCCCTGAACCTTTGATTTTGTTTCGGCTTTATAATGAATTCATTGGACTTGCAAAAGAGAGTCAGAGCATTAATGAGGAGCTGGATGTGAAACAGACGAGCCCCAGGGCAAAAAAGAGGCAGTCAGTCTGTATTGAACTGAACAGAATCATTCTTAAAATCAAAGATCTCCTCAAACTGCTGCCTACACCAAACTATAACACCCTCCAGTTTCTTTTAGGCCATCTGCACAGGTGAGTAGATTTCACAATTGCTTACATGTACATTCAGAAATATGTCTTTTAAGTTTTGATTTCTGTGCAGAAAAAATAGTGTGTGTCTTATAACAAGCAATACCGGTATTTATATGGTGTAAAGAACCTAGAAAATTAGCAATAATTTTAACATTATGAAAAGATTAGTGTTACATTACACTGAATAATACTGCATTCTGTTTATAGTAGTGCTTTCTGAGATACTGAACAAGGTTTTGATGGGTTTTGTTTTTCTATATAGAGTTACTGAGCATTCTGATGAGAATAAAATGTCTGCTAGCAATCTCGGCATTATATTTGGTCCAACTCTGATCAGACCACGACAGACAGATGCTACCCTTTCCCTTTCTTCACTTGTGGACTATCCATACCAAGCCCGGGTGGTGGAGCTCCTCATTACCTACTATGAGAAGATCTTTGATATTTCAGTCCAGCCACTGTTGGCTGCATCTCAGTTGGAAGAAAATGCAGCTTGTGCTAAAAATACTGTATCACCAGAAAACAGAGAACAGTATCAACAAAGAAAAACACCACCCTGTGTTTCTGTGAAGGAAGTGAGTGCCGGTTGTGGAACAATAACTTCCACTGACTGCTTTGAATTTGCTCTGTTTTGTTCAGATTTTCTTTACCTCATTTCATTTCTGATCTTGTTGTTATTAACAGAGTGGCCAATTCGTCCAAAATGAGAGGAAAGAGTCAGAAAAAGTTGTGTTGCTTGATGAACCAGATGGTGGTAAAGGCACCCCAAAAACTTCTAATGCTTTGGTATCAGGTTAGTGCTTGGATATTATATTAGGCATTCTTGCTGAGATTTAACTGCTTTTATATTTAACTGCTTTCTCCTCTTTCCTAGAATTGAATTGTGAACTTGGAACTAAGCAGAGTATTGGCATGAGAAATCCTGCCTCTGAATCCCCTCCTGTCTCAGTTCTGGAAAATCACATTCAATCTACAAAAGAATCAGGTCAGTTACCTTACCCACAAGAGTGCATAGCTATGAAACTTCTGCTGTGTTAGTTCATATGGATTTAATTACAAAATGGAAAGCAAAATGTTTTGATTCTGTTAATTGATGTTTTCAATGAAAATTCCTAAGGCAGAAAAAAAATGAAATGCAAAGATACAGAATGGGAGATGCCTGGCTCGACAGCAATATGTGTGAAAAAGATCTTGAAGTCCTTGTGGACAACATTTTAAACAATGTGATGTGGTGGCTAAAAAAGCCAATGGGATTTTTGGCCTGCATCTATAGGAATACAGTGTCTAGATCCAGGGAAGTCATGCTACCTCTTTATTCTGCCTTGGTCAGATCACACCTAGAATAATGTGTGCAGAAAAGGGCAACAAAGATGATCAAGGGTCTGGAGAACAAGTCCTATGAGGAGTGGCTTAAAGAGCTGGGCATATTTAGTCTTCAGAAGAGAAGGCTGAGAGAAGACGTAATGAGGGTCATGTATCAAAATGTGGGGGAAATCATAGGGGGGAGGGAGCAGGCTTTTTTTCTACTGCCCTGGAGACTAGGACATGGAGCAATGGCTTCAAAGTGTAGGAAAGGAGAATCCACCTGAATATGAGGAAGAACTTCCTAACTGTGAGAGCTGTTCAGCAGTGGAACTCTGCTCCAGAGTGTGGTGGAGGCTCCTTCTTTGGAGGCTTTAAAACATAGACTGGATTAACTTCTGTTGGGGGTGCTTTGAATGTGCTTTTCCTGCTTCTTGGCAGGGGGTTGGACTGGATGGCCCACGAGGTCTTTTCCAACTCTAGGATTCTAGGATTCTTTGTTATACTCATAAATCCAATATTAGACAGAGGCTGTAGTATCAGCATAGTGGAACTCCCCCCCCCCCCCGGTGCCCCCAAATACAACTTGGTGTAACCACTTAACTGATGTCCTAGGGGTTTGAGCAGATGTTTGCATTTGTGAGGACTGCCCTGGGTAGGAGAGATGTTTTCTTTTCTGAATCTGCAAATAGAAACAGATCTTTCACTACATGTTTGCCATTGGACATAGACCACAGTGCAGCCATAAATTATTTATTGTGGAACTATCTGGACACACACACACACACACACAAAATAATTGAACTTTTGAAAGAGGTATTCCAAAAACCAATAACTTCTGTATCTCAGGAAAACAGCTTTTGTTTTTACTCAGAAGAGCAACTGTAGTGTTTGTGACCCTAGCTGTAATCTAGCTATAATATGTGTTGTCGAAGGCCTTCATGGCCGGAATCACTGGGTTGCTGTAAGTTTTTCGGGCTGCATGGCCATGTTCCAGAAGCATTCTCTCCTGACGTTTTGCCTGCATCTATGGCAGACATCCACAGAGGTTGTGAGAGCTATCATGAGAATTGCGATATCTGCAGAGCCATAGAAGTATATTGTACAGCAATTTCTTTATTTTTATTACACTAAGTATTTCCATAATGGGGTGTTATGTGGTTTCAGGGCCGTATGTCTGTGTTCTCACAGCATTTTCTCCTGACGTTTCGCCTGTATCTTCAGAGACATAGATGCCAGCCACAGATGCAGACGAAACATCAAGAGAAAATGCTGTTAGAACATGGTCATACGGCCCTGAAACCACACAACACCCCAGTGATTCTGGCTGTGAAAGCTCTTGACAATTTTCATAATATAAATACTTTTATCAAAATATTATTTTAAAAACTGGTGACAGAGAAAGACAAAGAGAATATTGCAGCAGTTCCTTAAAGCATTGCATATTTTTACAGCTGCTGTCCAGAGATATTTGTGTTCTTTTCTTAGCCTTCTCTTTGTCTGTAAAAGGCTTCCTCCTGTCTTCCTTTTCCAGAAGAGGCATTTGATTCTTCCCAGGCTGACTTATTGTAATTATTAGGTAGTTATTCATCATGAAATGGATAGGCATTCTCAAAGTCTTTAACAGTTTCCATTTGATTGATATCTAAGATGCTTTAGATCACGACTTCCTTATGCCTGGTACTGCCTTCTGTTTTAAAACTGGAAGTAAGGATACATGACCAGAGATAAGACACAGAGATAAGACCTGTGTTGCACAGAGATAAGACCTGTGTTGATTCTATAGGTTCTTGGCCTTCCTTTGAAATAATGACAATTAGCATTAGATTAATCAGTGTGCCATAATTAATGGAATGTAGTAAAAGAAAAAGAAAAGAATAGGAAATAGATGAGGAAGGAATGTTTAATGCTTTAACTTACATGACTACTATCAACAAAATGATTCCTAAGAAGGGGCACCCAAAAATGGTTTGCAAAATAATACTAGTTTAAGAACACTATGTCTATCCTAAAGTATTGGATTGAGTTCAGATGTATATAGGATTTTCTAGCTTTCTTTGTTATACCTGTCCCCATAGCTATAATTGTCTGTGGAGTTGGTTTTTTGTTTTGTTTTGTTTTGTTTTGTTTTGCGCACAATCTGGAACTGAAGCTTAGCCCTTCAGAAGATTACAGCATTTTAAGGTTATTATGCCAACACTAGACATTTTCTGATGCAAAAACATCTTTCTAATGAGAGTGGTGCCCATTGTGGAATAGTTGTGGCATGGATTTAATCCAGACATGGGCAAACTTTCTAACTTGGGGGCCGCATGCTAGCACTCCCTGCTAGGAGGACTGACTGCCTGGTGATGGAAGGAAGAAAGGAAGGAAAGAGAGAAGGAAAGAAGGATGAAAGGGAAGGATGGAAGGAGGGAGGGAGGAGAGAGAAGGAAGGAAAGACAAAAGGGAAGGAAGTGTGGAAGGATGGGATAAAAGAAAGAGAGAAGAAAAGAAAGACAAAAAGGAAGGAAGGACGAAAGGGTGGAAGTAGAAAGAAGGAGGGGAGGGAGGGAGGAAATAGAGAAGGAAGGAAAGACAAAAGGGAGGGAAGGAGGAAGGAAAGACAGGAAGGAGGAAGAACGAAAAGTTGGAAGGGAAGAAGAAAGAGGAAGGGAAGAAGGAAGGAGAGGATGGTAAGAGAGAAGAAAAGAGAGAGAAGAAAAGGATAGGATGGTAAGAGAGAAGAGGGCCTGAGAAAAGAGCCCAAGGGGCCGTATCCGGTCCATGAGCCTGGGTTTGCCCATACATGATTTAATCTCTCAGGGATCCTGGTGAAAGTTTAAGTTCAATTTACATTTAATGTTTGTCCTGTTCCTACTATGTGAAATGGGTGTAATCTTGGACTTGCCCTTATTTAAAGAGAAGCATGCCTACTTGTTCCATGCTATGTAATGATCGAATAGCTTTCTGCCTAATGTTATCAAAATGGTAATAAAACTGACAATAGAAACCAACCTCTGTTTTTTCCCCCCTAGGCAATACTGTGGGACCAGTTTTACATCAAGACAGTGAGCCATCTTCCCCTCAAATTGAAGATGGTGTTAAAGCTAATCAATTAGTGAGACCTATTCGCCAAATAACCAAAGTTCAGTTACGTTCTCAAAGGATGAAGCCAGTTGTTCGTCCTGTGAGTTTACCTCTAGGTCAAATGCTCCCTCCTTCTGTTCTGAATGAGAGAAACTGCCGAAATGCAGGTCTGAATACAGAAAAACTCGGGAGGAGTCCTGTCATTGAAGAAGTTTCTGAGGCACAGCCACTTCCAACAGTTAATGTCGGCTCTAGGCTTTCTTGTTATGACACACAGACTCTGAAAAAAACATGGGATAAGCAATATAAACAATATGATATGACTGCAAGGACTGCAATGATTATGACTAATATCCCCCAGGAAAACCGTGCACAGGAGTCTGTAAGCACATGTGCCTTACCTACACCTATCAGTTCAGTAAATGCCATACTTCCTAATAAGCCATACACGGTACCTGTCAGGGCTGCAAGGACAGCGGCAGAAGGGCCTTCCTCAGATGCGAATCCTCTCACTGCTTTCAGAGCACCAAGAACTTTGCAACCACCACCAGGAACATTTTACAAACCACCCTCCAACCCTAAGGCCAGACCAAACGACGAGAGTTCCTCACTCAAACTTTGTGCAGCAGATATCAAAGATGATATTCCAAAGCTAGTGGTGAACCCTGGGCTTGGCCACGGCTCCCCTAGCCAGCCTGCAAAGCAACAAAAACCCAGTTCTGAAACTCTCTCCCCTACAGACCTGAAGCCCACATACCAGAGATTGAGGCCAAAGCGAATGCAAGAACTGGAACACAGGGAAGCTCACTTTGTATAGAGAAGCAAAACTCTTCTGGAACTGCCACAGACATGTTCGTGGAGGATTTTCTTTCTTTTCTTTTTTGGTAGAGGATTTCACTTTTGTGCCATATTGGAATTATTTTTATATGTGTATATATATATACACACACCTGTATAGACTTTTTAAAATATGAAATGTAAAAAAGCTGTGAAGAATAATGAAGTTAATTTTTTTAATTCAATAGAATTTTTTCCCTCAAGAGTATTTATATATTCTAAATATAGAAGCAGCTAATGGCAGGTGCACTCAAAAACTTATAATCTAATTCCATGTGTGGGATTGAACCCTTCCTTGTGAAAATCAATTTACCATGTTTGGGTAGAGCAATGGAAAGAGCCACTTTTTCTAAATGTTTTTTTTTTTTAAGACTGCAGGGTATAAAATACAGCTACTTAATTTAAGAATAAACCAAAGCTTGAAGCATTGCTCTAAGTGTCTGTATTCAGTTTCCCTCCCTACTCTGTGCAATGAAATGTTTTTGAATTGATTGAGTTCTGGGCAGCAAGGCTTTTGTATATTTTATGTGTGTTTGTGTGAGTGTGCGTGTCTATATGTTTATACACAATATATATTTTATATACTGGTCTATTCATTTTTGACAACTTCTGTTGAAAGCTACTTGTATAGAAAGATGAATTATTGTACTATACTATGAACATATTTAAAAAGCTTTCTTACTCAGTTTTCAAATGGTTTCAATACATAAAAACTAGCTGACCCAGTTACCCTTCAATGAAATTAGTGGTAATGGCACATCCATTCCTATTTACCAATAAGCTAGATTTTTCTGTTTGCTAAAGATAGATCTCAGTCGTGGAGAGGAATGTTTAAAAATACCATCAAAGCCTGCATTTAGTAAGTGCATCAAATGGTTTTTCATTGTGTATGAACCTGCTTTTATATGTACACTATTTGCTTTAAAAATATACAGTGACCTGTTAACATTTCATTGACTCCATGTATTCCATAATGCACTTCATCTTACTCAAAATAGAAAGCTTATGTGTTAATATAGTACACCATGTATTAATACACACATGCCTACTTCTTGAAAATTATTCTGTACAGAAGGTGTTTGCTTTTTGTTGCACATTAAAACAGTATTTACATTTCAGAAAATGTCGAGAAAACCTCAGATAATGATGGCAAAAACCTGATTTGTTGAATTACATGTTCCTTTACATAAATCAAAATTAGGAGAAGGATTGACATTAATATAGAATGTGGCTATAAAGTTTTGTTTTTCCTGGAGGAATAGTGGACATTCTCACTGCTCAAGCTTTCCATACTGTGCTGGTGTTTGCCGGTATCATGTGGATATTTAAACACTGGCAGAAGCCAGTTTATCTTCCAAGATGGTCCAAGGGACTGCAAAGTCATCCCAAATGGAAACACTGGCATAGCTGCAGTTGTACAGGGTAGTAAAGTTCGAGACATACTACAACTCACTGAGAAATTGAATTTATTTCAACTTTACAAATTATGTTATGCTGATGTTTAAATAACTGGTCCATTCAAGATATATGACTTTAGGAGAACGGGTATATTGTTCTCTAATCTACCATTCATTCGTTCACACTAATTGCTCAAAAGGATCTTGTTCCCAGGCACCATTTATATTTATTTCTTGGGAATGTTTATATCCATTCTTTAGGAAACAAGCTCTAAGGCACTTGCAATTAAAAAAACATTAAAGTGCTACATGTTCAACCGTATATACATACACACACACACACACACACCTGTGCAACAATAATAAAGCAATTGACAGAGCAATAAAACCAGTAGTTAAAGGAAAACAGCAGCTAAAAGGCAAAGGTATATGACTTCCATTTCACAGCTTCACTTGATATCCTCTTATCCACTCACCCCCCATTTGAAGATGGTAGGACCTTTAAAAAGGCCTTTAAAAGTATCTTTATTGATAAACAAAAGCAATCCTTTAGATCAGTGGTTCCCAACCTTTTTTGACCAGAGACCACTTTGACCAGGGACTACTTAGTACCAAAATGGTTACGAACTAGTTTTTGGTGAACTTTAGATTCGGTTTGGTTATTTGTGGTGCTGATTCAGAAAATTGCATTTGATAGACAACAACAGCTCTAATTTCTGATACAGACATTTCTGATACAGAACATATGCCATCCAGTAGTCACCACTTGCTCACCCATAGAAAACCATATTTAATAAGCCTCTACACTATTAGAGGGTTTCGCAAGACCAAACACACTCATTGCAACAGTGTAGTAATGGTGAGGCCGCAGACCATATTCTAGTTCTAGATCACATGTTGGGAACCACTGCTTTAGATACTCGGACTGTCAAAGTTAGCACTTTGAACTTCACCTAGATGTAATTGTACAGCCATTGACATTTGTGGAAAGCTGGTTTGCAGAAATCAAATTCTTTAATCATGTGAGTACCACATTTTGCATTGAATGAAACTTTTAGTCATTTTATAAAGCCAGATCTATTTTACATCTCAGGCTAGACTATATTGTGGATAACCGTGGCCACATCATGTTCTCTAAGAAATGGGCATAGCACAGTACACAAATCCATACTACTCCATACAATATGTCATTGACAATAACTGCACATCTTGTAACTGAGGAGTCTACAACACCTCCAAGAAAAAAATATTTACTTACTTATTTTGAGCATTCATATCCTGTCCTTCTCACCTCTGAAGAGGGACTCAGGACAGCTTCCAACAGGCAGCCATTAGATACCAACACAATACATTAAAAAAATCATAATTACAATTAACACAGTTAAAACAGTTCTAAACATTCAATTAAAAACAGTTCACCAGTTCAGTTGCTCACCCCATCAAAAGACTCCTTAATGTCCTGCATTATGCTTCAGTTTATAGGTATATTCCAGTAACAATCGCTTCATATCACACAGAGAAGGCCTTTGACAAGATAGAATGGCAATATATTTTATAACTATCTACAGCTATTCACATGGAAGAAAAAATCCTTAAAGTTCTTCAACACCTATAAAGATTATCAAGTCATCATTAATATCAATGATACAGAATCAAACCCAATCCAAATCAGCAGGGGAATTTGTCAGGAATTTGCCTCCACTTCTGTTTTCTCTAGCAATGGAGCCCCTGGTGAATGCAGTTGGGCAGAACATGGATATTGCTGGCATCAAATTAAGGACTTCTAAATCTCTTCTTAACCTTTCTTTGCTGAATACCTGGCAAGTTCTAAAACCAAGTCTTCAACTGGACTAATTAAAGTACATTCTGTATTACAAGAATTTGGAGACATACCAGGCATCGTCAACAAAAACAATCAAAACTTCTTTGTTTAAACATTTCAAAGAGCCAAAAACATTACTTGTCCAAAATACCTCTCTGTACTAAGTTCATGAGATACTTATTAGTTAACATACTACACCCGCTAAAAACACATTTTCTTTCCATTTTAAGACTTTATTCATGGAACATAAAACAAAAACTGCCAAATGGAAAAAAATAGGACTTCCCTTGCAAGGAAAAATAACAAATACTAGAATGTCTGTTTTCCCTAGATTTAATTATTTTTCAAGTAAATATATAACAAGTTAGCAAAAGGACAAAAATATTGAAAAGTACATACATGAAATATACAGAAGCAGCAAACTTTGGTGGCTTGTAATCTCAAATCTGAGCCAAATATATCCGGTGTCCCGTTTTACCTTCAGAGCAGACACGCAAACATATTTGTTATATGTACTTATACCCTGCTTTTCTCTGCCAAAGAAAACTCAGTGGCAAACAACATGTGAATTAAAACCTAACCCATAGCACCATTAAAATCGGATTAAATATTGGCAATATTAAAAATAAACAATGTCCTCTAAGTAAATGTGAAATATCAATACAAAATTCCCATGCAAGCATTATAGGTTTAGTGCCAAAATAAAATCTATACGCTATTGATTCTACTATACCCAATTCTAAAAAATGCTGCAGGAACTGAAGGGCATTGTGTATGTGTTTCTGCATGTAGTGGGACTGTTCCAGTATTTTGGAATATTTGGAAAAGATACTGCAGATAATAAGGCAAATGACAAACCCACCAGCTCCTGTTGATTCCCAAATAACTCTTCTCGAAATATCACTCGTGTATTCTAATACATGTGTAAGTATATACAATGTAAGTACCATGCAATTCTGACATGGCTTATTATGTCAGCAGTTGTGTAAACTATAAAGATCTGTTTTGTTTATTTTGCTGCAGAAGTGAAAGAAAATTGGCCACTCTCCATTGCAACATCATATCAAAAAACAGAGAAATAAAAGGCAGACATGTATAAGATGATAGAAATGTGAGAAGCTGCTCTTCAACATGATTTTCTTTTACTAATTTCATCAATTTAACTTCCTCCATGATCATCTTTGGATTTATGGAATGATGTTTTAGTTGAATATAAATTTATTGTTCCTGTCTCATGTTACAAACCTATGAACCAAATATTTCATACAAATCATGAAAATCTTTTTATTTGGTTTTTAAAAAACACGTCATGTCACTGTATCATAGAGGTAGAAGCTCCCAGTGGTGTAGTAGGTTAAACCTTTGTGCCAGCAGGACTGAAGACCAACAGGTCAGAGGTTTGAATCCAGGTAGAGCACAGATAAGCTTCCTTTGTCAGCTCCAGCTCCCTATGCGGGGACATGAGAGAAGCTTCTCACAAGGATGGTAAAACAAAACATCCGGGCATCCTCTGGGCAACATCCTTGCAGATGGCCAATTCTCACACCAGATGTGACTTGCAGTTTCTCAAGTCACTCCTGCCATGAAAAAAAAAATCATAGTGGTCATACTTCACTTTAATATAAAAAACTAAGAATCAATAACCATTGTAGCTTCGGTCTAGAAGGTTATTCTTTTCACTTTTCTTACACTCTAAACTACAACCTCTCTGTGTTTGTAAGTGGGAAGAATGTCCACAAATTCCATTCTTGGCCCAGTTCTTTGGATTTTCCCCCTTGCATTTTCCCTTCTTCTTGGACGTAATATATACAGGTTGTCTTGAACATATACATGTACAGGTTGTATTTTTTTTGCTATGCTTCTCAGGTCCTTGAGCTATCTTTGCATTCCCTCTACCAACATTAGAGTTCAGGGTTGACCTTACAACTTCACAATTCCTATGGTTACAGGGCTCCAGATTGATTGAGCCAATTTGCTTAAATCTAGACAGCACTTTAGAAAGCAGAGATGTTTTCATAACTGATAAACCATTTGAATATTATCTAAAGATAACCAGCAAAGCAGGAGTATTGGTTCCAGTGTATGTTCCTATCTGTGTGCAGTATTGCTGGCATTATAAGTCATACCTGTCAGATTTGCATGGTAATTACATTTTGTGTACTTGCAGCAAACTGCCTCTGTGGCTTTGGCAGAGTGCTGGCTTCCATAACTTCCTGACCTAATTAATTGTGACAACTGTTTGTTTGTGTTTTGCAGGGGTTTGTAGCATTCCGGAAGCCATGGCCCCAAATGATTTTTGTTTCAAACACATTAGTTGAGGTCCATGTCACAAAATATGATGGACCCGCTTTCCCCTATGTAGTATTTGCTCTTAAAGCAGTGGTGCTTAAACTCTGGGAAACAGTTGTCCCACCTCAAGCTGGGGATTAAAGCAATCTCCTTACAACTGAGCGGTATTATTTTGTAACTGCTCATTGCTCCTGAGATGCATTCCTCTGCAGTCATGCTGGGCTTCCTTTCATGGCTGCTTTCATTTCTCACAACACTGCTATGCCTTTGATGGAGATCTCACCACAAATGAGGTAAGCCAAACATATTTCCAGCCTTATTCTTAACTGATGTGATCTTTGCACTTCCCAAAATTGTCCCATAGGCCAAGAATTTTGTAATTTCTGTAACCTGACAAATGCCAGGATGGATATTCCCGGAAGCTAGATTTTTAATCTGTTGGT